AGACTTGGTTCAGCCAACTCACTCTGCAGAGTACGCTTTGTCTGACTGAGTGCGTTCTGACCATTCGAAGTTAAGTGGGCTTTTGCTTTGGGCCAATGATAACTGAATGGGCCGGAGACTCCTCAGACTAGGGTATTTATCATGTGCTATCTCAACAAATTAGAATTGAAAATTATATTTAGGGACTATTTTAAAAATATTTTTTTTTGTAAGAATTACTTAATAAAAAATATTTTACAGGGACCAAAAATAAAAGCCGCCTATTTCATTGGGTTGAAAAAAATATTTAGCCCTACTTTTAAAACTCCATATTTGATGAATAGGGATTAAATATAAAAAATTCCTCCAATTTGAGTTGTTTGTTACCGTTTCACATAATCAAATGTTAACTACTTACCCATTTTTTACATTCATTTGAATATAACTTTTTAGTATATTAATTTCATTTTTAAATTTACACCAATTTTCATATAAAACAGATGAAAAGTAATTATAATCAAATATCAAAACCTGGAACATATAATTTAAATTGAAGCAGAACGAACACTAGAGACAATTAGTAAAATTTATCCTAAAAATGGATGAGCCTCATTTACGAGAATTCTCTCGGACGCCGTCAGACGAACAAAGAAAATTAGACTTTCATCAATGAAAATATGAAATGAAATTTACTTCTAAAACAAACCCCACACGTGGCATGAAGAGAAGCGTTGAATCTACGCGTTTCTCGAGACGTCTAAATTAAATGATAGAGCATCGTATTCGGTGTGAAACGAACAACTAGTCAATTACACAATGAACACACGTAACCGTATATCGTACTTTAATACCCTGTGGCTAAGGAACATCGTGGACCCACACCGCCTCACACTCCGCCTTTTAAATACACGCCATTCCCTTCTTCCCTTCCCCATCTCGATCTCCCATATCTTGCCCGACTCACCGAGCAAAGCATCCGCGTCGAACGCTATCTGAGGTTAGTTTTATTTTTTGTTTTCCAGTAGATCAGATTTAGATCTCCTTGAGGTTCTTTCATTTCTCGGTGATTATAATTATATTTTGATTGATTTTGGTTTCGATTCTTCTATGATTCTAATCGATCCCCCAAAATATCATGGACAAACTGTTTCCTGTTTCTAATTTCTGGTTCTTGGTGTCGATAACGATTAATACGTTAATTGATTTGATGATCTGTTGAAATTCTATAGTACCAGTACGAGCGATTGTATTTCTGGAAGTTAAATTAGATCCGCGATTTGGATCGCATTTCTAGGGTTAGGGTTTGTTGATACGGGTGCTTATTGGTAAATCCACGGTTTATGTTGTGCAGATCTCTGGTAGAAGAAGCAACTAGTTTGTCGAAACTAATTACATGGTTAGTAACACAGAGGTTCTGATCCCAACTGCTTTTGATCCCTTTGCTGAGGGCGAGGACAGTGCCATTACCAAAAGAGAAAAGGAGTATGTGCATATCCGCATCCAACAGAGGAATGGGAAGAAGAGCCTGACAACAGTGCAAGGGCTGAAGGAAGCGTTCAGCTACAACAAGATCCTCAAGGACCTCAAGAAGGAATTCTGCTGCAACGGCACTGTAGTCCAGGATCCCGAGCTTGGGAAGGTGATTCAGCTTCAAGGCGATCAGCGCAAGAATGTTTCTCAGTTCCTTGTCAATGCCGGTATTCTGAAGAAGGATCAGATCAAGATTCATGGTTTTTAAGCTCCCTTTATCAGACTGATTGATTGCGTGTGTTTGCAAGTGGTCGTTTATCTCTACTACTGGTGCAGTAGAGTTCTGTTTGTTTGTTTTCTGTGTTGTTCCGTGTTCTTGCCCATGATCATGTCATCATGGCACCCATGTTGATCTGGAATTGTAATCGCCTACTTTCTTCCAGTAATAAATGTGACTTATACCTTTGTGTTAATACTGTTTCCATTGTTTATGGTTTTCCTGAACACCTACATGTAGCCAAAGTTGTGGAGCACGACTATTCCAGTTTTGTGTGACAAGTTTCCTTCTCCTTCCATAAAAAAGATGTTCTTCACTTTTATTGATGCCATCTTGAGCCGCTTCCATGTTCTTTAGATGGCCGGGCTCCTGTTATTCTGGAAAACCTTCCAATTCCTTAAAGGCATATAGTTATCATTAACAAGTTTAATCAAGAACAAGATTACAAAGGAGTTCTTTTTTGTGTGGTTAAAACTCAAAAACAGTTAGAAGATAATCCTGCAGGAATATAACCATTGCTGAGTAACTTGTTAAATCATCAGATGATGCATCTGCAATTGCTCTTGCCAAGTTCTTGAAAGTGCAGGCATCAAAGTAGCAGCCCCGAGATTGAGAATCCAAAACTAAGTCCTTTCAAACACAACCACTATTGTTCAATGTAGCACTCTACTATATATATAAAAGCTGAATGGAAAATTCCATCCAATTTCAGCTCTAATCCTACGGTCCAATTTCATTTGCAATAGCAACATCTAGCCGTCAATTGCTAACGCCAAATGCGTTCAGAAATAGATCTACGCCAACCAGTGAGATGCATCTCCCTCCAGTCCTCCACTTCTCTCTCCCTCGCTCCTCATGCCTTCACGAAGGTAAGATCCAGACATCTGAAGCCTATTGCGAATTGTTTTCGATTAAGGTTTTTGATTATTTTCTAAGATTTAATGGTTTCCATATAAACACGAAAACATAGATCTTAAATTCATTCCAAAAATCAAACAAAATCAAAGAGAAAAGTCCAGAAGATCCAGTGCCCCTAGAAGAGTTTTACCTAGGGTTGTTTCTTAGATTCCAGTGGCCGATGCCGGTTGAAAGTGTCGTGCAGCCTGTGCTTCCTTAAAAAAACGAAGAGAAAGCTCTGGAAGATCCCAACAAGATGAATCGGTCCTTCAAGATGGGCGGGCCATTACAGCTTGTGGAAGATGTAGAAGGTGGAGGTCATAGTTGCAGGAGTTCAATCAGTTGCTCATCATCTTTCACGCCATTGACGCAGCAGATAAGGTACATCCGAATTTCAGCATTAATTTCTTTATTTTTCTTTCATAATTTAGGTTTCAAATTTATCTTCTTTCCATTTATACTCATATATATCTCCATTTTAATTTCATATTTATTTCAGTTAACAATTTTGGAGCTTCCCCTCAAAACAAGTTTGGCTCAGTTGCAGACGACGACTAAGGGCACGAACAACGTTGGCCGAATGTTTATTTGAACATGGCGCAAGAGAAGTATCCCTATAAAACAGAGCTGCTCAACATGAGTTTAGGTTGTTGCCATTCTTAATAGTTCTTAACATTTAGTTTTTCTAATGAAAAACAAAACAAAGCCTACATTATTAAACATCACGCACCAAATATATGCACAAAGCCTTTGACAATGTAATCACCACAGAAAAAACATACCAATTTAGGTATATGTTTACTGGAGTAACACATTAATCTCCATGCAAGAATTAATCTGGATTTACATACTGTAAGAAATGAATGATATAAATTAATGTTAATAATTCTTAGTGCATGACACTGATTATACTCTATTCTTAATGGGGCTAGATTTTGTCTCTGTTGCTTTGTATAAGATTTAAGGTTGGGGTACCTTTTTTAAAATTTGGGCATTTCTATATTTATATGTGGTTAAAACCTCATCTCTCAGTTATTGTCCTTTATGCTTCATGTGTAGAGAGACAATAGAGACATTTTTGCTTACTCTATATCTAAAGGTGCGATATTAGATATGGCTTCTTGCTTTCGTTTCTCTGTAATACTGCACATTATTTTTTGTGTACTCTTATAGCTGTTTCTAAGACCGCTATCAGGTTGATGCCTATTTGTGTATTAAGGTTCTATATGCTTCTTGAGTTAGATATGAAGAAGCTTTTTCGTACTTGACTGAAATTAAAGGACAAGGTCATCCTTACCTATTTTTACACAAAGAAGCATAAATAAAGGACCATCTTGCTTTATCCATTTAAAGGGTGGGGACTAGACAACTTAGTAACTTTGGTGTATTTAGAGCTCAATCTTCTTCAACTTTACAAAATTTGCCAACAAATCTTGAGTGAAATACCCCAAGTTTCCAGACACACAACAGCTTGCTCCCATATTAGCAAACAGTGGGGTTGTCGGTCTCATTTGCACTTGGTTGAATTGAAATGATGTTTTATTTTGTTGCAAAAGTTTCATCTTCACTTGGTTGACATGGTTTTTTGGACTGTTAGTGTCTGGGCAGGTGATGTTTTACTTGCTGTCCATCAAGACTTGGTTCACATGGTTTTTTGGCTCTTGATGTTTGGTCAGGTCAAAGCATGGTTTTGGACAATATAATGGTCATTGATATTTCTTTTTCATAGTGTAAGCTTTGTATTGGCTCATGCCTTTTTGGGTCATAGGGTCGAGTCAGAGTCCCAGGTGTCTTTTAAACTTTGCATTTGGGTTACGACTTGGCTGCGGGTTACAAGTTTTAAGTATTGGTTATTTCATCTTGGCCAATGCTACAGAAAAAGACTGAAAAAGATCTTAGTATAACCTGATTTCCTGAACTAACAAAACTTAATACCATTCACCATTGAAGAGAAATAGGTATTCATTACTACATGGAACGGCTTTTGTGGTGATGATACTCCTGGTTTTTTATAAACCTCCCTATGATCATTATTTACAGACCCTGTAAATTTAAATCATTATTCTATACCTATCCGCACATTCCTCTTTGAGCCATACAGGAACACGATCATATTATAAATCTAACAGTAGTAGTCATTTGTGCAAGATCTTTGCCCCTGAAATCAACTCCGATGCACCAGTGAGTTTCAAAACACCCATGTTTCTATATACAATACAAGGTATGTGATTGCACTCCTTTCCCATTTTTTCTCTACTCATATTAAAGTGGATGGTCATTTTTTTACACCGATGTTGTCTCACGCAGTCATTTACCCTTTCTTTACCTCCCCTTATCTATTGTATATATAAAAGTAGAATCAAAATTGAGATCTAATTTTGGCTCCGTAATTAAAGAATTGGATGGTCCAATTTCATCCACCGCTGACAAAATCCGGCCGTTGATTAAGAAGGCAGTTGATGTTTAGAACATGAAATCCGAAGTGATTTTATTAAAGAAGAGCAATTGTGGTTTGATATCTTCATTCCCAGTACGAGCGGTTTTGATCTTCGTCTTGAGAACAAAGGTGTTGAGCATCTACCATTGCCTCGATCTCCAGGTTTCGCAAGTGCTGCAAGTTCGTTGCTTATTTGGGTATCAGGTACTCCGTATGTGGTATGTCACAATCCTTGAATTTTCTTTTTTTTTTCTCAACTTCAATTACCCAATGCCCCAATGTGTAAACTTTTTCTCCCTTTTATTTTTCTCAATTTTATCAATTCTTATAATCTTTATTTGAGTTCCTGTTTCATTTTTCTTTTAAAACTCACAATTGGGTTCTTTAAATTTCTTCTTTCTTTTTTTTTTAGTGTTGCTTCCCCCCTCGCACTTCAGATCTCCGCCCAGCTCTCAATTCAGCTCCAATGGCGGCGGCATTGAAAAACGCCCTGCTAAAGCACCTGAGAGTGGAAGTCGTAGCACTGCGAAGCCCCACCCCAAACCCCGGTGGCCCATTGGCCCGGTTTAGATAGCTTGGATACTGTGGAAGTTGTTATGGCCCTGGAAGAAGAGTTTTCTTTTGAGATCCCCGACAATGAAGCAGACAAGATCAACACAATCAGTCTTGCGGTTGACTTTATCGCTTCACACCCACAGGCCAAATAGACCTACACCCGACGGCCCTCAATTTCCCTTCATCTTTATTTAGCATTATCGGTTTGTGTTTAGAGCATGCCGTTGAACTATGTAAGCCATTTCCCCCCCTTTGCCAAACAGTCTCTCCAGTGATCTGTGAGATCTTGGCAACATTTTTCGGACTAATTCAGAGCTATGACTTTAAGAATGGGTTTTTTTTTAATTCAAAAAAAAAAATTCTTCTTTTTCCAAAAGTATTCTATATGATGAAACCTTTTCTCTTTAGCATGTATTTTATCTATGTTTGACATAATATTTAATTTACAGTAACTAATGATACATCAAACAATTTCCCTTGCTGCTTACTTGCTATGAAGTTTTGTGAAATAAATGCAACAATGCATCATGTGTCTAACAGAAATAGCCTCACTGTTTTTTTCACAAGAGCAAGGTCGCTGACATTTTGACCCCCTACACACCATGGGAGTTGGGATTATGCTGGGGCTGTTGTTGTTCTTCGTTTGTGTCAAAATATATAAAAGTTTAACAAGGTGAAAATGTGAAAGTTTGTAAAATAGAGGATTAGAGGATGTATATATCAATATATATTATGCTTTCGGGATTGAAGGTTTTTATCTCAAAATAATGTGTTCTTTTATTTTGTGCATTTTAGAGAAATGCTTCACCCATCTACTACTTGTTCAACAAAATGCTAAGGCTATAAATTACTTGTATTGTGCTATGAATCCGAAAGACTTATTAGTGAATTCAAAAGACTTGTTGAAGATTCCTAGGTGAGATAAAATTTGAAGTCATCTTTGAGGGTACCACACAAGTCAAGGAAGTAACATTCATTATGCTTGTCCATGAATATGAAACTTTTTAGATGAAAGAAAAAACATGAGAAAAACCGATGGCATGTTTGAAAGGTTATCTTACATTCTCAACAACTTCGACACTCTTGGGAATAACTATGATGAACGAGATCTCATACAAAAATTACTTCGTTGCCTCACTCGAAAATGTGAGTCCAAAGTCGATGCCATCAATAAAAGAAGAATATTCAACATTTTAACCTAAGATGGTGTGAGAGGTAAATCGATTACCCGTGTGACTACCAAGTTGCAAAATATCATTGAGAAAAAAGAGAAGAGATCATTAGCTTTCAAGGACTTTTCTTCAAGAGCAGATGATCATAAAATTGAATCAGAAATGGTATGATTGGTATTACTCATTGAAAGTTTTAACCAATGGTACCACTCATGATATGGTACCACTCTTATAATGTTCACTTTTATCACTCACTTCTTGAGATGAAGACGGGAAGCAGAGGATTTTTTTTTTATTCTATGTGATGCTTTAGGCTATAAGGTGTGGAGTGATTTTTCCTTTGTGACCATCCACATCTTTTAACTCACTGTATTTCCATATTTCATATCACTCAGAGGTGCGGTATGTCCATTCTTTTTCTAACATTACTTTTATTACATTTTGTCTTTCATTTTCTTCAGCACCGCATGTTCCAACAATGGAATGGCGTCAATATCTAGCCCATTATTTTCCTTCTATGCGGCTTTCGTGGCAATCTATTGACAACTCCCCTAGTGTAGTCGCTAAGGGAGGAGACCAAGAGACTCCATATTCACTGAAACAAAGAAATAGATGGGACAATGAAGGCAAAAGATACACACATAGAAGTAAAGGGTATCTTGGGAAACTCAAAGTAATTTGAATATTAAATTAGAAATCATACCAAATAAAAATGAAAGTTACAACTTGCGTGAAAAGAGTATTTTTAATTTTTAAAAAATATCTTAAATGCAGGCATATTAGGAATATTAGATAGTAGAAAATAAATATTATATTAATTACTTTCCTTATTATATTATTTTTCTTGTTACCATAGTTGTTCTCCTAATATAATTATAACTCTCTTATGTAATCTTTATAAATAGGGATGTATCCTTCAATATTCAATAAGACTAATTATTATCAAATTGTATCATGGTATCAGGGCTAAGATTCTCTAAAACCTAGACTCTTCTTTAAGACTAGGGACATCGCTGGTCTTTGTTTATGGTGGCCGATTATCTGACAGCATGTTGTCACCGACCAATCTCGACGAACGTGTCTAACATTTACCATCCATTATCCCTCTCTTTCTCTCTCTGCATTTGTCTGTGTTTGTCTGTGTTTTTCTAGAGATCGAGAGCATGAAAAATGATAGAAGAGTAGAGAACGGCCCACAAGAAGAAAAAAGAAAGTCCTCTCCCTCGCTCCAATAATCAACACTCTCATTTTCGTCATGGAACGAAAATTAACTCTCTACTTCTAGAGGTTATCTCACAAAACAGCTTCTGTCAGCTCAATTCTAGTACATGTGCTCATACTACTTCTCATTACCGATGATCAGTTTGTATTCTCTCCGTTCATCATCTTCTTCTCGATGGAGCTTCGAGCTCCATCAATGGCTATCACGCCAATATGTTGTACAAATATACCCCCGATATATAATAAAACATCCCCGTTGGCATGGTACCGCCGAAAAAGGCCCGTGGTTTTCACCGATTTGGTTTCCACGTTAAAAGTGTATTGTCTATATTTTTGTTGATATATTTTCCATATTTTATACATATATCGTATAGACCAAAAAATACACACCCGGGGGGTTTTGGTCCATCAATTAGATAATAGGTGTTATTAGTAATAATATTAGTATTTTAGTTAAGTCCTGAGAATATGGCAGGATCTGATTTGGACATTAATATGGGTGATTTAGGCATTAATAAAGGAGATTTAGTTTCCTTATATTAGCACCCTTCTTATGTATATATAGTCATGTTGTATTATGTAATAATGTATATTGAGGAACACCTCTGATTATCAATCACAATAGGAAATAAACATTATATTTAATTACTTTCCTTATTATATTATTTTCTTTGTTACCATAGTTGTTCTTCTACTACGATTAAATTTATTTCATATAATCCTTATAAATAAGGATGTATCGCCAAATCGGTTGATATCTCATATCCGTGAAGACATAGAAACTTCAATTGTTAGGTGTAGGTTCAAACTAAGAAAATTGTCATGAGTCATGCTTGGGTGTTCCAAGTTTGACCCTTTTTTTACACTAATGCCTTTACAAATATTTGTTTTTTTTTTTTTGAAAAATGCCTTATAAACAACTTGAAATACTATTTTATGTTGAGTTATGCTAGAAGCTTACTAGATGTGACATCAAGTGTTTCACAAATACGTATGGTGCACCTTGGGTGCATTTTTGTTGACCTTCTCATATAATTTTTATTATTTTTTATTTTAAAAAATAGATGGTTATTTAAGTAGTAAGAAAATGTTTATTTTTTCTCATATATAGGTTCATGGCGGACTTTACGTTCACCATAGAGTTTGGCATCACAAATTTAGTACAAATAATCATTGTCTGAGCATACACACACACATAGTACAAAATACTTAGTGTTAAATTTGGTGAGTTTTTAACATTTTGTTTTATGTTTCTAATATCTATAAAGATAAGGGAATTTGCCTAAAAAGTATTTAAACATAGTAACTTTCCAATAGAGTACCATATGTTTTTATTTTCGAATATGGTACCACTGTTCAATGTCTACTGGTCATTGTTCAAGTAAATGTTTTCCACCGCTGGGCATTGTTCACCCACTAGACATTATTCAAGTACCATTTAGGTGATAAAAAAGTTAAGGTACTACATTAGGAAATGACATATGCTTTAATACTATTTAATGCAAATTTTACATAAAGATATTGATACTCTTTCCTTCGTAAAACGTTCTTTCTAGTTATTATTTACACGGTCAAACTTTAATCACTTTTATTATCTATTTTCTTTAGTTATTTGTTAAAATAATGTAGTCTTGTCATTTCTTGTTTTATATAACTTTTAATATAGTTTTTAAATATATAATTTTCTTTTTAAATTTTACATCTACAATTAAATAAATTGAATTAAATATAAAATTGGTCAAATGTATTAGATGGAAACGAGAAGAATGTTTTAGGGCGAAATGAGTATAAGAAATGGAATTAAATTTGGGACAACTTGTCTGTTTTGAATTCTCAAACTAAATAAGTTTTATGCAATGTAAATGGGATAAATATATTTGTACCCAGAGATTTGTACCCCGTTTGTACCCTATAGCCTGTAAGTGTGCACTTATGTTCCTGTAATGCTAATTTTTGTTAACGCACTAATAATTTGTAAGGAGAAAAACCAAAATAGCACTCTAAGAGCATTAAAATACTCTTAATAGCAGTGCTATATGTTTCGTACATGTAATTCCGATTTTATCCTTTAATTAAACAACAAATGTTCATTATGCACTGCCAAAAAATATTATTGTTTTGGACAGTATGGTTGTTCACTCATAATTGTGTAGTGGGCAGTGTGGTTTTTATATGTGAGCTTTTAATGTGGCAGTGTAGAATAGATATATGTTACTCCCTCTGTCCTATATCTATCTTCTCAAGTTGACTAAAACTCATTTTTAAGAGTCTAGTAATACTGCCTTTGACTCCCAATTTTACCCTTCTTACAAATGAAAAATCCAGATCCCCACCTCTTTCCGGCAACTGGGCAATGCAACTAGCCACAAACGGCGGCAGTGGGTGGCTTGCTCGGAGTGGGTGGAGATGCAATTAGCCACAAACGGCAGCAGTGGGGCTGAAAAAAACCTAATTCTATCAAAAAAAATGAAAAAGAAGACTAAAAAACTAAAAAAATGAACAAAAAATTGAAAAAAAAACTAAAACAACCAACCAAAAAAAAGCTTACCTTCTCTGGATCCCCGTTGCAGATCTGATATTTGGTGGAGTGCTTGATGAATCGCTGATGATATCACCGTGATATCGGCGATGGTGAAAAGTGGTAGATCGAAAGGGGGAGAGAGACTTGGAAACCGAACCCTAAATCTATAATTTTGAGAAGGAGGCGAAGAAAGGAGAGGGAAGAGAGAATGAGAGGATTGAATCTATAGATTTTGAGGGAGATGGAAGAAAGATGAAGATTACCTGGGTATGAGAGGGAAGAGAGATGGAGGAAGGAGAGAGCACGAAGAGCGAGAAAGAAGAGAGACGAAGGAAGCCGGGAGAAGGAAAACGGAGGAAGCCAGAGGGTAACATAGTCTTTTTACATCCCTTTTTAAGAAGTGGGAAGATAATTTTAGGACGGAGAAAAAGGAGAAGTGGGAAGATAGTTTTAGGACGGAGGGAGTATATTTTAAGGCAGTGTGTAAATGTATTATTATGTTCCTTAATTTCATGTTGTAGTGTAATGTCCATTGATTTATGTAGGAGTGATTTTATGTATAAATTCTACACTGTCAAAAAGAGTGTTATTATTTTCATGTATGAATTTCATATTGCCCAAAAAATATATAGCTCTTTTTATGTATGAATTTCAAACTGTTTTCATGTATGAATTCCACACTGCCAAAAATGTATATGATTGTTTTCATTTATGAATTTTTTATGTAGTTTTTTATATATATAATTCCTATTTTTTAATTATACACCAATATTTACTTGTATTGATTTGAAAATAACTTCAATCAAACATCGTAAATCGAATAAGAGCCTATTTTGGGATGAAGAAAGTATTTATAATTGACATATTTGTATGATATAATTTTGATATATCCTATTTTTATTATATATATTTATTCAAAATTACATTTAATTGATTGAAGAAAGAATTTGATAAAAAAAGTACTATGCCACTATGCACGAAGTGTATATTATGTGAGTCCGAATTTGATATAGGAGTTGAAAGAGGAATTGAAACAATTGATAGTGGGATAGATAAAAGAGATTGATAACATAAAGGGTATGATTGGATGAGATTGACAACATAAATAACTAATTTGGTAAAAAATAATAAGCAATACTAAATGCATAATATTAGACGAGTTAAAGTGCTACGTAGGGTAATTTCTAATTAGGGGAAATTTTTATTAATGCACCACACTTTATATCACAAGTTACAAATTTGGGTTTAGGTGTCATGATCCACAAATTTTCGCTTTTAGGTTGTTTTTTTCATGGTGTTCCCTAAATTCAGCTACTGTTTCGACTAGAGATTAATTTGGAAGCGTAAAAGGCAAAATCTTCCAGTTGAGAATGCGGCGAAGGCCGGGAATCGGAGGGCTACAGAATGCAGCCACGGCCAGGGTTCGTTAGTCTCTTCCTTGTTAAACTCTATTTGGCCTTCCCTGTTTGTTGGCTAATTAATTTGCTCTGTGCCTAAAATAAGGATCACTACCGATTGCTCGGTGAAAATGTAGCCAAACTGAAAACAGATCTTCTGAAAGAGCAGCTCGCTACTTTTCGCTCTATGCTTGAAGACTTTGCTCGAAAACACAAGGTTTTGTTTTAATTTACACACATGATTTTTCATATTTTCACTTTTACACTGGTTATATTTGATGATCGATGTGTTGTCTGGCAATTTTAACCACCCCTATTCCGCTTATGTGCTCGCTATACTGGACGTCAACAGATTCTGCAGACGTCTTTTTACATTTAAGGTGCAGGAAATTTGGGTCTCAATGTCGGTTTGTGGAAGTGCGGAAGAACCATAAACTTTAGTGCAAATTTGAATGCAATTTGAGCAGTTAAGAACACTACGGGAGGTTACAGTTTGAAATGGTTGCATAACTGTCACATATAGTGATCCATATCATTGTAGCATTCATAAAAATTTAATGGGAAAGTAAAAAAATGTTTGTGAACATTCATTCCCGTGTAGTTGAACCTTAGATTTAGCAAGTAGGTTCAAGCTTTTTCTTATGCTCATATTTTAGTATTTGTTTATACATTTTTTACATGTTTTGGATATTCGTGAAGTAAAAGTTCCATTTATTTACCATGTTTTTTTATGTAGTGTAATGAAGTACGTAGTACATACTAGCATTTTGTTTCATCAGATGTTGTATATTTAATTTATCATCCTCTACAGAATGACATTCGTAAGAATCCTGCATTCAGATCACAATTTCATGAGATGTGTGCTAAAGTAGGAGTTGACCCTCTTGCTTCAAACAAAGGTTTCTGGGCAGAGCTCTTAGGAATTGGTGACTTCTATTATGAAATTGGTCAGTTATATGCTTCAACATCATCTTTATTTATCACGACTGTGACATGGATATATGAGTTCTGTTTGAGTTGTGAACTGTAACAGTTTTATAATTGTCTAGGCAGGGGTACAAATTGTTGACATATGTTTGGCTACAAGGCCTCACAATGGAGGCCTGATCAGTTTAGAAGAATTATGTAAAGTTCTTGCTCAAAGACGTAAAAGTGCTCGTGAAACAGTGTCTGAGGATGACTGTTTGCGTGCTATAAGCAAGCTAAAGGTATTCACAGTTTCACACTACTCCTGCTATTCTGCTTTTGCATGATTTACTTTATTGTATAACAACATCCTCTGCAGTCTGTTGATTCTTTACGGCAGCATATTTAAATGATATTTAGAGATATAAGAGTATATAAAGTTGAATGTAAAGATCAATTGATAGAGTAACCCTTCTTCTCATTCCCATGTATAAGGAAAGTATGAGAATTTGAGAGTAATGAGATTATGAGAATAAGAGAGTAATTAAGATTTGAGACTGATAGAGTAAGAGAATCAGAAATTGAGAATTGAGTGAATCAATTTTAAGGAAGTGTAGGGTATTTATTGGGAAGAAAAGAAAAATTTTTAACTTCCCCACGGCCCCACTCAAATAGTCACATAGGCAGCAGAGCAACCCACCAAGTTTCCAGCGTTCAAAAAAATAAAATAAAATACCATAACCGAGTACCTGACCTGCTGGTTCTGGGTCCCAAAATAGAGGTCCGGAACGGTCCCCCTACCCTCCATAGTCCGGTCCGGTTCCCAGGAACCCCCACCGGTCTGGTTCCGAACCAAAACCTTGTCCACCTCTATTTGGAGCTAATTTCTTGAGCCCATTATACAAACCTTCTTACAAGTTACACCTTTTCATTAGTTCAGTGTTTGGATCAAATTTAAAGTATTTTGGCTTCAAATTGTGGCCGGCTGCATGCAATGGATGATGAAGCTGATCGATGATTTCAATGTATCGACTTTATTTTTTTTTTAAATCCAAAAAAGATTGCTATGGCCTCATTTGCTCAATCCACCGCGTCGTAAATTACCCCATTGCTGGTTTGGTTTCACCATCTACTAGCAAAAAAAAAACTTTAATTAAAGGGGCTACAACCTTTAAGGATTTAAGTACTCCTTTCCGAACTTCATCAAATTCAGTAAACCTGGACGAGAGTAGATGCCATTATTCAGTTTCACAGCTTTTCTGTTTTCTACGTTTAAGGATTTAAGTACTCCTTTCCAAACTTCCTCATTAAGTTTACTAAACACGGAGGGCAATAGTCGATACAACTATTCGATTTCATTGCTTATTTGAACTCTAAGTGGATATCTTTCTCTTTATGTATATCCTCCAATATAAACAATGGGTGACACAACGTGTCCAAAATTATAAGAAATATTCCCATCATCCGGGAATGTTCTTCCCAAATTGACACGCCTATTTAGGAGAGTTAACAATTCTATTTACTTTCCTACCCTATCCCCACCAGCCCTTGCACGTGCCACTGTGCTAGGTCACCAATGTTGCCTACATCACTGATGTTGCGCGTTGGCTTCATACGGTTGCCTTCATCACCTCCGCTTGCCTCAGTGCTGCATCTGGTTCGGAGAGCATCGAGGGCACACTTGAAGATGATGATGTGGCAAGGGATTCGGAGAGCGCCTAGCTGCTTGTAGTTGTACTTCTGTGCTGACTTGTTGAGAGGCAGACGAAGACGGGGTGGTTGAGAAGTTCCATGCTCACCACGTATCTCTCCATTCTCTCTTCGATGTACACTGGCAGGTCTGGCACTTGGGTCGAGTCAGATCTGAGCTTTATCATCCCAAGGACTCATATCGCCGAGATCAAAACAGCTCCGCTGTTTGCGCCTCCACCCCGTGCAAAGTGTATTGCGACAAGTCACCAACACGGATAATCGGTGAGCCAGCTTCTTCATTGTGAAGTACGAGGATTTGAGATTGTGTGAGAAGAAGTTAGAGAGTCTGGAGACGCTGAGTGGGGTTATTTAGGGTTAGGGGACTAATGAAGATGAATGGAAAATAAGGGTAGTGAAAGGGTAAATAAGACATTTTGTATAAAACATTTTGCAAAACAATGAAAGGGGAAGAAAACTTTCGGACGAGCAAAAATGGATAGTGGGAAGAATATTTCGGGACAGAGGGAGTACATAAGTTAATATTACATTATAAAGTAAAAATATGAATTCTTATTTTGTCCTATGTGTTTTTAAGTAGGGGTGTAGGGGTAAGGTCTGCCTACACACCCTCATGAGACCATACTGTGGTGAGATTCTACTGGGTTGTTGTTGCCTGCCAGCTTCATGTTCGTGGCATTGTCTATTATGACTTGTACCACATTCTACGGACCAATTGTTTATACAAATTTACTCAGTAACCCAAAGATCAGTTCCCTGCCTTGAAAAGCTCAAAAGCATGACAAAAAAAATCATTAAAGTCCTTCCTCTATTGTCTTTCCATCCATCGGATATCATAGAACTACCATTCCTTGCACATTCTTCTCTATTATCTTTCATTGCTTTATTCACAAGCTCAACTTCTTTCTTGAGCAAAGGACCTATAACTTCATGAAGTGATGGGGCTTTCATTCCTGAGCCATGTTTGCCAATTGCATCAATCGTCCTTTGTAAGCTTTCATACTTGTCAACATTAATAGAAATACCAACATCATACATCTTTCTTGCTATTGCAAAATTTGCTCAACTTGTCAAGTCTTTCAATGCTTCATCATTCAAGTCTTTTTTGCTTTTTCATCCCTCTTGCCGTGGGCCAATCACCGTTGTTTACAGACATATCCATTTTCCCCTTTTTGTTAATCTTTTGAGTTTTCAGTGCAGCCCCATCGCCATAGCTCATCAATGTATCTTCACAGAGTCATTGTTGTTAAACTTCCTTCTCCATCACAATTTGATCCCTAACTCTTTTTTTCCTATTCATATAAATATGTTTCTCCTCACTTCACTTCTTTGCTCTACAAATTCCCCCACTGTAGGTTTGGTCAGAAAAAAATATGGAGTACATGTTTTATTGTTTGTTTTACTTGGATTTTCTAAGCAAACATATTTCCAACGTGGATCTCTTCTTCCACTAGCAGACATGGTTGTCATCTCTATAACCCTGTTAAAAGAAATAATGTATGTAAATACATAATATTAATAAACAAAATTAATACATACCATACCAGGTTTGTTGTCTTGGTTGTTGAAAAAAGTGACATTAAAGTATAAAATTAAATTGACACACAAAGCAATAATGGAATGGGCAATAAGCTTGCCGCAACACCTGCTTATCGCAATAAGCCGTGTTGGTGTGCTAGTTTTTATTTTTTTGCACAACTGGCTTGCGAGTTGATATGCCATAATTTCAATACCAGTAATATAATCCAAAAATCAAACTAAGAACAAAATGAAAAAAATACTGTGCCAAAAAAACAAAAAAAAGGACTGCACCAAACTTGAAATGACGTAGAGTCACAGATAATGACGTTCACAGAGAAGGATCTGACTCGGCAAGATGTCGCTTCCACTCCTTCGTCCTTTCATATGTTATACCACTTATACTGAGATGAGGTGTAGTTTGGTCACTGGGGCAAGATGACCACCTTTTTTTTGGCCCAGTTTCTAATTTTCGCAAGGCAAGAGAGGCAATCACTTCAGGTGACTGATTGAGGCAAGAAAGGCGAACACCCAACTGACCCAAGTAGTGACTTATGGTTGGCGTCTTGCTTGGCCTATTACAAGTGCTAATAATAACTTCAATAGGAAATTAATAATTAATTATAGGATAATAATAATAATAATAACAAATTAGATATTAAACCTCAGATCCATATCATTACTCCCTATCTCAAATTTCAGCTTGTCCGCAAGCTCAATTATGTATAGACCAATTATTATCTAATCACTACGCATTTTATTATCTAATCACTACCCATTCAGTGGGTCTTCCTCTGCCCTAGATTCGTCTAGGATTAAAACAAAAAATAACTGATTGCAATAGTCTTTAGTAGTTCTGGACTCCCGGTCTGCATCAAGAACCTCAATTTGCCCACCGCACCCTAGTCCAGGGGTGGCCTGAAACGTTCAATGCCATGTTTCTCAAACAATGTCTTGTCCCGTGTGCCTTCTTCCATCATCTCTTCCAACCAAAGTTGTGCATTATTGAGCAAAGGGAATGACACGATACAAACTTAGTCTTTGTCAGAGGTTTTTTTTTTGTGATGTAACAAGTTCACATTGCTGCCAACTGATCAGATCAGAAATTCTAGCAAAAGTCAGGAATTCTATATTTGCGTATTGAGGTCAGAGCCACCACACAAATCCTTCGTCCTTGTGGATATTTTCTTGTTGTATTTGGAGGGCACAGATTCCTCCGATTCATGTGAGACCCAACCCCTGACATCTTCCCTAACACCATGCTATCATGTGGCCTGCAAATGAACCCCTTCTTGGCATTGGTGGTGACCTTTGCCATAAGCAACTTATAGTTTTTCTATAACCCTTCAATTTTGTGGATGATGGTAGCAAACTTGGAAGTGGTGGCTGCCATGAATTCGCGCAGTCAGATTAAAGAATTGTCATGGATTGTCCTTGCTCCGCTCCTAAATGGTTATGGACAGATTAATGAACGTAAAAGAAGATGAAGATATTGATCCTTTCCTGCTCGTGGCTGGAAGGAGAGGAGAACAATCTGTGACTAATAATTAGAGATTTGGCTTTACCCATTGATATATTAATAATACTCCCTCCGTCCCATATCTTTCTTCTCACTTTCCTTTTTAGGCCGTCCCACTTGATTCTTCTCATTTCCTTTTTTGGCAAATAAATTTCTACAAAAAGACTAATTTACCCTCTCTTTCTCTTTTCTTCTTGTTTGAGCCAGCCCCCTCATCCCTCAGACCCCCATTCTTTCAGCCTCCCCCCTCCTGCAAATTGAAGTCTTCTTCTTCTTCTTCTTCTTCTTCTTCTTCTTCTTCTTCTTCTTCGTACAAACCACTTCAAATTTTTCTAAGACAGGCCCCCCTCTTCTTCGTCTTCGACAGACCATCCTCCACACCCACCCGTTTTTTTGTTCTTCATCAACTTTGACAGCAGGAAAGGGATCTAGTTTTAATTCTTATCGAGCAGTGGCGAAAGGACAGCGGTAAAAGAGTGCTGGCGAGAGAACGGCGATGAAGCTTTCAGATTGATGTCTGTCCCATCTATCAGATCGAGACTACGCTTTCAGATCGATGCCCATCCATTCATCTTTCATATCGAGCGTTAGCGATGAAGCTCTCAGATTGAGGTCCGTTTGTCCATCTTTCAGATTGAGTGCTGTAGAAGATGCTTTTAGATTGAGCTCCGGCAGCGAAGCTTTCAGAGATGAAACTTTTAGAAGGGAGAGGGGGGGGGGCATCCACGAAGAAAGAAGAAGGAATTGAGGAGATGGGGGGATACACAAGGTGGGAGGGAAGGGTAAAATTATAAAGTCAAACTAATTTTCGCTCTACATTAAAATCCATGCCAAGTCAAAAATATAAGTTTCAACTGGATGAGGGGAGGAATTGTTATTATTAGTAATAGCAGTAGTATACTACTACAATTACTATTATTATTACTATTATTAATATTATTGATATTATTATTACTATCATTGTTATTATTACTATTGTTGTTGTTGTTGTTATTATTATTATTATTATTATTATTATTAAACTAACAGCTAATTACGGAGTATATATTACCCCAAATCCATAACAAGCCCTTCTTGCTTAGCCAAATATTGTCCTTTTTTAAAAGTTAGAGAAAGATTTACTGCAATGTATGTTTATTAGAAACATAGGAAACATGTCGAATAACTGTTTGGAAGGGAGAGAAAATGAGCCCCTTCCCTCATTTGGTTTGAAAATTATAGAGGGGAAGGAACCAAATTTATTAACTCTCAGTCCCTCCCCTCTCCTTGTTTTCAATCCCTCCGATTTGGGGGTTTTCAATTCCGTCATCTCCTCTCTTTGCAACTCGCCTCTGTGTTCCTCTGCTATTTCTTTTTCTTTTCTGTTCTTCTCTCTTCTGTTTTTCTTCTCCCTCTTCTCTTTGTTTACGTCTCTCTATCCCTCGTCTTGTACCTTTGAAGAGCTTTCCTTTCAAATAAATAATACGTCAATCTGTCCAATCTGAGTCTATGTTTGCATGATGGTGCCCAAAGTAAATGGAAGGCTTTGCTACCTAAAATGATTTTGACTGAAAGGGAAGGTTCTGTTTTTTTTAACTCAAAGAAAATAGAAGGTTCTGATCTGGTTTGTTCATTTCTTTGAGTTCATCAAAATCAAAATAGGCAACATAATTGAGATAGATTTGAAATTGATTAATTTTTTCGAAGTTATAGAAATTGCACTTCTGCCATAGCTGCAATCAAACATAGGTAATACGAGAACTACAGATTTTCGTCTCTTGAAGAGCTTCCCATCCCTTCCTCCAACCAAACAAGGTGAAGGGAAGCCTTTTCCCTCCCTTCCCATTCNACAACCTAACAGGCCCTCAAATTCCACAGAATTTATTTTTACAATTTCAAATTCAAGTATGTTAACTCATGACTATTAGTACTGGTTCTTAATGTGTTTGGCGCTATTATTGTGTTTCATCAGAAAATCATTTTCCAGGTACTAGGTAATGGTTTCGAGGTGGTTTCAGTTGGAAAAAGAAAGCTTGTTCGCTCGGTCCCAACTGAATTAAACAAGGATCACAATGAAATTTTAGAGCTGGCTCAGGTATGGTAGTTGATGGATTTATTTTAGAAACTTATACATATATGGTGTATATATTCTGAACTATCATTCAATTACACAACTCAAACCTACACACATTTTTATATTCCATTTTCAAATCTGCAGACTCAAGGCTTTGTGACAGTTGATGAGGTACAAAGACACTTGAACTGGTCATCTGGTCGCGCTACTGATGCTCTTGAAACACTGTTAGAGGTTCGTTATTGCCTCTGTTCCTCTGATGGGTGTCTAAAGGCTATTTTTGTTAGGAAAAATTCACACAATTACTCTTTTCACATATTTATATCAGTACCCTACCAGTCACTGGACCAGCTAATTTCTCTTGTGCGATGAGTATGTGGAATTAAATGAGTTCAATTGGCAACTAAAGACATTGTCTATAAATTTGACCGCCTGGTTATACTCAGCTCTTTTAATTCCACATTCTCATGATGTAAGCGAAGCTAGCAAGTCCGGGGACGATATAGTACAGATATAAATATATAGAAATTCTTGGAGCAACAATGTCATTTATTAAATTAGAGAGTAATTACCTAAAATCACATAATTCTGAGAGTAAGAGTGAATTTTTCCTTTTGGTAATAATAATAATAATAATGATAATAATAATAATAATAACAACAATAATAATAAAAAAATAAATTGTTATCAAAATCAGGCATTTTTGATATACATGCAGGAAGGTCTAGCTATGATTGATGACGGGCACCGCGATGGCAGACGCCGGTATTGGTTTCCCTGTGTATCGTCAATGTCTTCCTATTCAGGAGCTGATTCAGTTCCAGAAATAAAGTCTTTTTGATATGTGAGTGTTTCTTCAACACACAAAATCCATCCCATAATTTAAAGATTGCAAAAACTATGTTGATCCCTCTTCTTCCTTCCATCCAGTGAAGGGGCAGCAATTTAAAAATAAATTCAGCTGTTTCAAATGTGTAATGCTGGAATATTTATTGTTCTATGAAAGAAATACAGTTCTTGAATCTTGATTCATAATTCTTGCAATGTGTACCAACTGCTTTTAAGGCACATGATTAAATACGGAGTATAATAGAAACTGCTTAATATCCAAGGATTCCCTACTCTTGTTGTGTCCATTCGGAATTAGGCTCACTCCAGGACCGCGGTTCAACTCCAAGCTTGAAGAACAAAACCAGTTCTAATGCCTCAAACACATTCCACTCATCCAAAAGTTCATTCCAGACTCCACTAACAATGCAGTAATTCCTGTTATACGGCGGCCTGTGGTGGGCCCCATGCTGCGAACGGGAAACGAGGATTCCGGCATCCTGGAGAGCCACCACTAAGGGTGGGAGCTCACTCTTTGTTCCGTGAGCCCATGCGTGGAACTGCTGGCTAAACATAACACAACCCGAACCAACCCGAACAAAGACATGGAGAATCGGGTGGTCGTTATAGAGCAGGATGTCCATGGGTAGGACAGTGTAGGTCACTGCCCTTGACAGGGCTTGCAGGTTGTTGGCGAACTCGCGTCTTGTGATTGTCCGTGGCCATTTATGATGCCCTTGAAATGCTTCTATCTGGTTTCCAAATAAAGGAGTTTCTGTTGAGCCGTAGTTGTCTATTGCCCAGTGGTAGGCCCCAGAGCCCAGGTCTGCCATCACGTAACCGATATATCCGGCCAAAACCGGCTCAACCCAGACATGTGAACTGGCTCCACCGGAAACGGCTTCGGCTAGAGAAATCAGCACGGTGGTGCACCCACATGCCACCCATGCACGGTGAGACCATGTTGATCTCAAGCTCTGGTCATCCTTCAACGTTTTCACACTATCAAGTGGGGTCGCTTTGTCGGTTGAGAGGTTTGGTGTTGTGGCGGTCGAGCTGCGGGCGGACAAAGTGAACGGCAACCGGTCGGGCTTGATGCGATTCGGGCGAATGTTCAAGGGCCCAAAGCGATGTCGAGGTAAGAAGATAGACATTGTTGATGCAATAAACTGGGCGAGAACTATTTTGTTCAAAAGAAACGTTTGGTTCCCAAATTGATGATATAAGAAGAGAGATAGTGGTAGTGGCTATAGACGAGGGAGATCATAAAATCAGTGATATAAAAAGTGTGGTTTGGAAGGCACAATCGTGGGGTTATATGAATCGCTAGAAAAGCGAAACGTATTCGGCCTCGAAAAGGCTATCGGTAATTTGGTATAGTGGGCCGTGTTTGCATGGTGACGTGCTTCAATTGCCGGCATATGTGCTATATGATTGTCGATTTATTTACATAATTAAAAAAAAGAAAATGAGATGATAAAATTTACTAAAAAGAGAGAAAATACAATTCTTAATATTCTGGTGGGGAAAATGTAAGAAATTTATTTTTTTTCTTTTTCTTCTAAATTCCATTATTCTAACATATTATGGACTATTTAGGAAATGTTACTTCTTTTTTTTTTAGGAATGTTACTTTAACTCTAAGGCGGTGAGACATGGTGTCATAATTTTGAGGGGTAAATAGAATTGCAGTAGCTACGGAGGCTAGGTTAATATGGCCTCCAATTTGGGTGTCATATTATAACATTTGTCAAATTGAGGCATTTATAGTGTTTTGTTCAAAAATTTAATAATTCTTACTCTTCTAAACTCTTGGGGTGAACCGAGCCCACCCCCCTATCCCATCAATTGAGCCTCCCATTTTAGTTTACTTTTGGATCTTGTAAAATTTTAAAGAAATAAAAGAATGGAAAAACTTAAAGTGTTGAAAGTAAATAAAGAACGAACACAATAAATTTATCTTGGTTTACTATAACCTGTGGCTAATTAGATATCAGAAGTACTCATTCGAGATCTTATTATCTATTAAAGTTATGAGTATTTGACAAACCATTTACAATGAAGAACTGAATAAACTATTTACAATCAAGAATTGAATCTCATAAACCTCAAACGCATAGAATATCTCATCCTAAGGCACACCACCAAGATTGTGAGATCTTGATAAATTAATACAATACCTAAAATACCACATATAAGATTTCGTACCCCAAGAAGAGTAAATATTTTTAATTTCTTTTTTAAAATTATTTTTTATAATATTTTATAATGTTTAAATAACAAGAATTAACGTACACCTTATTTGTCTCAAATTAAACATATTTATTTTTTTCCAAAAGAGGTCTTTATTGGTTCATTTTTATAATACGAAAATTTATAAAATACTCTTTTTTCACTAAAGCTCATTTTTCATTTTCTATTCATTTATTTTATGCCATTTCTTTTCTTTAATCAAAATTAAAATAAAAGAAAAAAGAATAGCAAAGAAAATAAAGAAAAAGAAAAGTATACGAAAAAATAGTTTTATAGAATAAGAAAAATTAAGTCATGAAGGAAATCTTTTGCGCATTGGTCCCAAAACTGTTATTAATATATAATTAAATATATTAAAAAGGCGTTACTCAGTATTTTTTGGTCTCGATATATTCAAAAAGATAAAACTTTTTTAGCCAAAACAAAAATATTTAATTTGACAAATGAAGTATATGCTAAATTTTTTATTTCACTATTTATTTCAAACACAAACATTTTATTATTTTTTAAAACTTTTTTTAAAATGTAAGCTTGAAAAAACAATTTTTTATTATTTCGCACACAAACATTTTTTTTTCTCTATATGAAAAAAGAAAAAAAAGAAAAACTATAAAGAAAAAGGAGAGGGGGCATTGGCGCCATTTCCAAAACCATAGAGGACATCAGAGTTAATCACCTAATATTTGAAGGATATTTTTGTCTAGAGGAACACTGGCGTAGCAATACTAGAACCATGAGAGCAACGACGTAAATTTTGAAACCATGAGGAGTAACGGTATACATTCATCAAACCACAAGGGGCGTTGATGCAATAAACTCGTAAATAGTGTACTATAAACTTTAGAGGCCAAAAAAAACTGTAGAGGCCTAATCTTAGTTTTGCACATGACCTTCGAAAATTTTGGACCGGCCCTGAAAAGTATACAACCTTGGATAAACATTTAAGATTTTCCAATTGTCGTAACAGAGATACTAAATGTTCAGTACATATATTCTTGTAGAGAACATACAAGGAAAAAGGGACACATTCCAAGCTTCAGACACTTTCTATGTAGAGCACAAAGGGAAAAGTGTCAAAGTTTGGCGTGTGATGAAACACGAGTATGAATGAGGTTAGAGCACGAACTGCAGACGCATTACTCGGCCTTGGTTGGGAAATGGTTCCCTCCCGTGGCGATCTTGTACAGGTAAAACCCGGTCATTAGTGCACTGCAAACAAAATAAAAAAAATCCGCTCGGAAGAAGATCCCATGAAGAACAACTTATGCATCAATTATTAATATTCACTCTTCTGGGGGGGGGGGGTAATAGAGTTCAAAGTTACCTTATCCCGGCAATGACACCCGCGGGCATAACTTTTGAGGTTGCCAAGTACCGTTGCCCCATGACCCAAGTCAGAATTGCAGCACAAACTGTTTCCAAACATATATGTAGTTTAGGTACCCAAACCAAATAAAAATTAAACAAAGATATAGTGTTACTTTGAGGACAATGGAGACAAATATCAATAAGAAGCTGCTTCATAAGGAGGGATGAACTACCAGTTCAGATGACACTTATTGAGGCTGAACTGATTGATTAGAAATACATATCATAAAACCAAGGCAAAGAAAGTAGTTTATGAATTCTTGCAACTAAAACTAAAGTATCACAAGAGCCAGTGTGTTAGGAGCAAAAGTCTGGACTATGCTTTCTTTATATATTTATTTTCAAATCTTAGATGAGAGCCCGGTTATGTTTTTGAGATTAACCTCTTAAATTCTTTTCCCCATATTTGCAAGCATTTTCAGTGCCCCAGTTTGACATAATGGTAAAGTAATTCGCCATGACAATGTAGTTAAATCTCCTTCATAGCAAAATACAGAGCAGCCAAACAGACAATCTCTTGCCAATCAGTATAGCATTTTCACAGAAAAAAAGATCTACTAATAGAAGGACAAAAAGGGAACAATTTGTGCCACTCAAAAACAAAAAAATTGGGCTTCTATTTTTCTAAACACAACAAACCCTACAGAAGCCAAGAGAAAATGAAATTGATCTTCATAAGAGAGAAGAAGAAATTGCGGGCAATGCGAAATGACGAAAGAACCCCTGGTAATCCATAGATCTGAGCTCAGAAGCAAAATTGCAGAACCCATTGGTTAAAAATAAAACCCCAGGACACTAGATTTATCATAAAGCAAAGCACAAATACCCAGATTGATGGATGGATGATCCATACCAGTTTGAAGAATTAGGGAGAAGAATGAGTTCTTGCGCTTGTGGAAAGCTTGAAGGCTGAGGTAACCAGCTAGGACCAGGAAGAGGCCGGTGCCCACGCCTCCTCCAAGCGACGCCATGCTTCCTTTCTTCACATACCCGATGATTCCACCGCAAACCAGAACCAAACCGTACGGTATTGTGAGGCAAAAATCATGCATCTCCGCAGAATGGGTTTATCCTCCCCCAACAAAATGGTCAAACTTGGGCAGATTTTTGGGATAATATTCAGAGCGAAATGGTTCTTTTTCAGGATCAAGAAAATGTCAAGTTTGAAGCTGGAGTGGAGCGAATACCAGGTCAAAACTCAAAAGTCCATACTTCGTAACAAATTTCCACACCCGCTGCGGTTTTAGACGAAATTGGCCTTTACTCGCTCAAACAATGTCAAATCATCAAGGGTATAACTGTCATCTTACGCTCGACTGGCGTTTGTAAGCCACACTCCATCTGAATGGCTTGCTTACTTTTGTGTGTGTGCGCATTAGTTTTCCTACTAAAATGTGCCATTCTCAACTACTCTCTTCCTCGACAAATCATCTACTAAGTTTGATTTGGCAAGATTTTTAATAAAATATATCATTCCAAGAGCATTGATAATGTCAAGGTAAAAATGAGATGCTACAGGGTGACATAGATTATTTCAATCAATAAAAAGTAACCCAGTCACCGTGTGACAAATGAGTGGAGTGTCGTAACATACAGTGGCAAGTCGTTGTTTTTGTCTATTTTTGCACTTTTTAATGATTTTTAATTATAAAAAATTATTTTAAAAATCTATTTTATTATTAAAATATGTTTGCTTCTTTTAAAAAAATATTTTTTTCAAATATTAAAAATATTAAAAAAATAAAAAATGAGAGAGTCATGCCTTACACATGGAATGAAAAGTGGGGTGAAATGACCATGGAATACCATGATTTGAGTGGAATTTGCTGACATGGCATGGCAAGGCAAGGTATTGTCTTGCCATTGTGAATGCTCAAATACCGGTGCTTGTAGTTTATGTATAAGAAATAAAATTAATATAGACCACATATATGTTTCTTTGAAAAGAAAAAGTAAGAAAATTTTCAAACAACCCAAATAGGAAAGACAAAAGATAATTATGGGACGAAGGAAGTATTACGGGGTAAAAAATACCGACTAAAACTTAATATTACATCCGTTTCTAAATGAGTTATACTTTTTGTTTAACATGTAAAATTCATTAACTTTTAAAATAATTTTATTTAAACTGGTATAGAAATAAAAATTTATAAATATATATTTTAAAGCTAAAGAAAACCCTATATAGTAAGAGTGAAATGTAGAGAAAGTACCAAAATAGAAACTCTATGTTTCTATCTTCAAAATATGAGCTCACACTATGATAATGTGGCACTGTATGTGAACATTTCAAAATACTTTTTAGTAATGTATATGGTCGTGATTGATACTCTAAATGCAGTTAACTCCTATTTCAGAAATAAAAACATGGAACTCCTATTTTGATATATTTTCAATGTTTTATTCCGACATTAGTCTTTTTCTAGAATCCAATAGAGTATCTGTTAATACTAATTCATAGGAAAAAATTAAAGCACTACAATAAGATATCTAGTTATCCTTAACTCCTTTGGGTGTTTACCAAAAACATCAAACATTCCACATCTAATTTGCTTCTTTCATTCCAAAAAATATTTATATATACTATTCAAATAGTCAAATTTTATTTTTTTTTGTATTTTTGTTACTCACTTAAGAAAAATATATAATGTCGTCATCTCTTATTTTAGAAAAAAAATTGATATAGTATTTTGAATATATAAAATTTAATTATTTTATTAAATACTAATATTGAAATAAATTAAATTAAAAATAATTTCTGATGGTGTAAATTAGTTGTATCAGGCTTACTATTCTAAACAAGGTCTTATCGGAAGTTTAAAAGGGATGATAACACTACATAGCGATGTTACGTTATAGAGAATGGTCTATAAAGATATATGAACCACATATATGAAACATGCTTTCACATTAAAGTAATTTCAAGGAATACAAAAGTACTTCAACTGAATAAGACGTAAGTATCTATGATGGTGTAAATTCGACCGGGTATGGTGTGATCTGACCTAGCCGGGCCAGTGGGTCGTCTACCAGGTGAAGAATAAAAAGCAATAAAAGTAAGAGCACAACAAGAATGACTTAGACGCAAACCTTCTGTGTCCAAACATATATTTCTTACTTTATTTCAAGAGTGCACTGTTTTGTGTGAGTGGAATTGAATGTTCTCTCCTCCCTCTATAACATCTTATTTCTACAGCAAAGGAGTCACATGTAGTGATTGGTCATTGTTCCCTATTTGACTAATGAGGGAACAAAGTGACAATCACTCTACAATCAAAAGAGATGATTTGGTCCTCAATCAAGTTATCAATTAGTGTCAATTAGGCTACCAATCAGGGATGATGACAAAAGACTTTCACTGTTCAATTAGATCTCATAAACGGTAGAGTTAATCCCATTCAAATATTACGTATCCTGAACAATATTGATGGGTCCCATATGATGTTAATACTTGTCTTTGTCTTGGATCGGAGAAACTAACATGGTATCTCATTCATTTTCACTGACTAGGCTTATGGTTTTCTATCCTTTACAACTCAAACAAGACTGGGTAAGATATCTTTGACCCAGATTATCAAATAATAGCTCAGAATTTTAAATTAACCGTACTAATGAACTTTTGTGACCTGACAGGTCAACGTCCAAACAATTCACACTTGACCATTTTAGGACCTTTTAGAGACTTTTCCAAAACACGACTAGGTTAGTTATATGACATACACGATAAACTTTAAAACATCTCATACTTGACAATTCCAAGACCTTTCACAGACCTTTTTAAATTGTGACCGGGTCAACTTTGTGACCTAACCGATCAACTTCCAAATATGACATACTTGACCATTCCAAGACTTTTCAAAGACCTTCCCTAAATATGACCGGTCTCCTACTTAGGGATAGTCATTCATCTGGGTATAAAATATGCCCATCAATCTTTGACTATGAAACTATGAATGTTCAAAATGAACTTGTCTGTTGATTAAATAACATAACTTTTTATCAAATGTTTGAATTCTTGGATTCAACATTTGAATGTTTGGAGCAGTTCTTAGGATACACATTTGTGTTTAGTAGTTTTCCATGCAATACATTACAACCAATCGTTAAACATTGTAATGTTTTAATACCGACAATCAAATGTTAGCCGATCTTTCGAAAGGGGAGCTACAAATTATCATGAAACACTCAAATGTTGCATAGAAACATTTGAATGTTCCTTACTTTTACTTCATTAACAAAAATTTAAAAGATTTTCATAAAACAATAATATCTGAAATTAAAAAATTTTCCACAGATCTCGCAGTTCAACCCTAACCAGGGACACTTTCTCTCAGATCCCGTTGCTCAACCTCAACCAATACTTCATTGAAAAAGCTTTACTCATTTTTGTTCATTCATCAAGACTAACACTTTAAAATTATACTAACAAACATTATAAACTGATTTTGACGTGAGGTCTGACATCAACATCCAAATGATTCACAATCATCCGCAATATCCATGCGATAGTTGAGGGTTAATGGTAGTAAATCTTCCTAAAAAGGGTCATTTTATTTTAGTGTCGCATTATCAAGGATTGGGTCAAAGGAAAATTTCTTATAAAACTAGTGTGGCAAGGTGTACTGATTAGTATTGGAAGTCTTAAAAATTAAAATTATTTGATTGAATTGAGTAGCAATTTGATTTAAATAATGATGAGTAAAAGGAGATATAAATTGATTTCAGGTAATGTGGATTGTTAGACACCTTGCATACCTCTAAAGGATGGAAGTGAATAACGGTGTTTCCTAAATGGTTGATTTTTCGCGGAAGCCTTCTTGAAAAAATTTGGATAAAAAAAGAAAGTGAAGGAAAATATTATGGAACACAAGGATGCAAATTGTTTCTGCCAAAATGCCTACGTCCAGTTTCTGAAGCAAACGTGCCTCATCCTTCACTATCAACCCGTCAAACATAATGAAGTTTGAGAGTCTGAGTACAACTCAAGAACTTGAATTCACAAGCCCTTTATCTTACTACCAAAGCCTTGAGTTTACAAAATTCAAGATTTCTTCCACCTAACATTTGAGTTCACAAACCGTTAGGATTTTTACCACTTGGTGTAATCGCAACACCAAGAATACAAATTCTTACAAAAAGTAAGCAAAACAACCACAGTGTTATAATTACCCTCACAAGAGTGGATTGCTGCAAATACAATGATCTTCTAAAGAATATGACTTAATCTCTCAAAGACTCAGCAATGAGATAAAGAACTCACGCAAGAATTTATTTAACAATCAAAACACTGACTTGCTTAGCTTGGATATCAAAAGAGGATTGAGTAGAAAGTCATTGAATAATCAAAGGATTTATTAAAGAATGTGTTCTTGGTATTCTTATATTAAATTTACGACCCAAGGAAGTTGATATAAGATATGAAGAGGATAGGGATCAAATAATTGGAAAATATAGCCCTAGGAGAGGTTGTAAGTGTTAGTTTATTCGAATAGGTCCAAAAGTATTCAAATAGGCGGGTAAGGAAAACTAGCCTAACGATAAAAAAGTGTGGATTTATTTGAATAAATAGTGACTTATTCCAATAATTCTATAACTCCTCATCCGCATAGCCTGAATATATGGGCCAATAAGCTGCGTTGCTATCAATTTGACATTCAAACACATTAATTTTTAAAACAGTTTAATACATCAATAAGCTGCACATGAATAGCTCTGCCACTGCTTATGATATGGGACCTCTCATCTCTTATTAAAACTAAGCTTATAGTTTCTGGGAAAGGAACATGCTTAGCGTTGCTAGACACCCGGTCGAGTTCTGTACATCCATGATTGAAGGCGGGGCTTGCAACTCTGTGATTGCCTTGATTTTCTCAGGATTTGGCTCGATCCTCCTCCTAGTGACCATAAAGCCCAAAACTTTCAGGTCTTAATTGTGAAGACACATTTTTTAGAGTTCAACATCTAATTGTATCGAGCCATGATTTCAAATTTGCTTCTCATATCTCATGCGTGGGTGGTGGACTGGTTGCTGTTGATATCATCCACATGATCTTTTCCTTATAATCAAAGTGGAGGACATGTTTGGGATAACCTGAATAGTAAATCAAGAAGATACACATGAGACTTATGAAACATTATTTATTAATTTATTTAATTATCTATTTAATTATTTAGTAGGTTCTAACTACTGAAACTCATTCTACAAGTATATCTAACCGGAAAGTGATGTTCAACCCACATGAAATGAGTCCAGTATATCTAACCGGAAAGTGATGTTCAAGTGTGGGAACCCACATGAAATGAGTCCAGTATATCTAACCGGAAAGTGATATTCAACCTGTTGGAGTGTAGATCAAGGTAGGTGTTAGAGTTAAATCTATGAAAAAATTATGTTAGATTTTTATAACCAGTGCTTAAAGTAAAGTCCGTCAAATACTTTAAATGGGCTTGACTATATTTTATTCCTTCCCTCCCAAATTTGATTATAAATTAGAATTTACGATGCAAAATCTCATATTTTCTAAAATTATTTATTTACAAATTCATATATCAATAAAAATTAAAAATTACATATTAAAAAAATGACGTCAGAAGTTCTATAAAACAAGAAGTGATAAGAATTTTTTATTTTATAAAATTATTAATGAAAATACACAAATAAACAAAAGTTATCGAAAGAAGAGAGAAAAAATTATAATCAAAATTAGGACGGAGGGAGTAATAAATTTGCAGATGGTCAAAATTCTAAACTCCAATCATACTCTATGGATCTTTTGTTTGAACTTTTTTTTTAAATGTGTTCATGAAATACTTCTTTTGTCTCAAATTAAATATTTTGTATAGTATTCCCATAGTTAGATTTTATTCATTTTTTACTATTTTTGTTAGTCATTTCATAAAATAATATAATCCCTCACCACTTATTTTGTAGAGTTTTAAGAAATCGCCTCAAATATAAGTGAAATATACAGTAGCATTTATCTTCAAAATAGAAGTTTCATGTTTTTATCATAAAGTAGGAATTTGCACTCTCACAATATGATATTGTATGATGGCATCCTTTTTAAATATATATTGGCATTACTCTCATTATACTCCGATCCTATTTTGGAGATAAGAAATATGGAGCTCCTAATTTTATATTTTCTTCATATTTTACTCCTAATCTGATAATTTTTCTCAAAAACTTTTGATGTACAGAGTAATTTTTTAATATGTGATTTTTTGTTGTAATTTTACCCCAAATGTCTTATAAATTGAATAAAAATAATTCTAATCAAACATCATATTTTTACGTTTTCGGATTACTATTTTCTTCAAGAGACATAAAAGGCATTCGAAAGAAGAATCCCTATATATTTGCAGAATCAGGTCGAATCCGTATATATTTCATCACATTTTTTATTCATACCCAGCCTTAAAAATCCATCATTTTAATGAAACTCTTTGAAAATCTATAAATATTTAATTTTCAATACCATTAAATTCAAACAAATATTTTAAAATCTTAGTTAAATATACACAGAGATTTTTTAAAAGAATATTCCTCCGTAAAATTTTAATTGAATAGCCGTAGACATTTAAAATACAAAAAAAAACATGGAATCTAATATTGAATTCGAATGCACCCCCGTAGGATGTTTCTAAAGTCTTTCCTATTACAACAGTTTAGGTAATCTCTATATAGTTACCCTTTGATAAAGCAGCTACAACACTCATCCTATACAGAAATTAACCTCACACGGAGCAGGTTGTTACATGAACTTGCCCAATCATAGAGTACAAAGACGAACTTCTCCCTTGACTTGAGTAGTAGGAAGCCCATTCTTCAGAATTTATGGGAAAGTTCTCCCAAGTTCGAGCGCCAACAAAGGTAGAGACATTGACTTTTCGTGCGTCATTTAAGAAATGTATGAACAAATTCTACATTGTATTAGAGTCAATAACATTAAAAAGCAATGCACAGATGAGTGCCTTAATATATATACATATAGAGCAATGCTAGGGGTACACCATTTGGTATACCCCAAATGTACACCACCCTCTTTTCCTCCACACATTTTTATTTGATTTTTATTTACTTATTTTTTTTGAATTTTTTTGCCTTTTTTAGTGGACAAGGAGGGGGTGGGGGACATTTGGAGTACACCATTTGGTGTACCCCTAGCATTTTTCATACATATATCCTGCAAGTACTTGTGAAGGAGACATTAGAATTTCCTTCACAAGTTACACCAAGGTACACCAAGTTACACCACCCATGCATCTACCACACATTTCTTATCTAGAACTCAAAAATTAAATTCTAGATAAGAAGGAAATGTGTGGTGGATGCATGGGTGGTACATGCCCCAAGCATTTTGGTTTCCTTCATTCACTCATGGCATGATAGGCGCTAACAGCTACGGCAAGTGATTGCATGCCGAAGCACTGAATGAGGAGGTTATCCACACTTCATCAGACTTCACAGCTTCATCGTCGTCATTACGATGCCAACTCCAATAGGCATGAGTTGAATTAACAATTGTGAGCGCTCCGTGTCCAAAGCTGGCTTCACGGAACATAGACCACTCTGGTTGGGGTTCATCATACCTGTCATCATATGATAATTTCACACAAAACCCAGAGGAATTTCATGGTAATTGCAATGCACACAACCTCAAAATGAGGCATATAACTCAAATACAATACTTACTCTGTTGCTAAACCTTCTTTGTTCCCTCCATCACCTATTGTTATATGGACAGGACCACATTGATTGGGTTTGCCATTGTAGACTCGTTCCTGAATTAGTACACAATCATCCTAAATATAAATTTCCTAGTTGGAAGTAACATGCTTCGAGACAATAATAAAAGGAAATCATGATGTTTATTTTGTGACACATGTTTAGAGAGAGAGAGAGAGTGTGTGTGTGTGTCATACTGGAAAAAGAAATTCAAACAAAGGGCATACGCTGCGCTCGTAAGCATGAACATGGCCTGCAAACACAATGTCTGCCCCATGTTCATAAAGCAATGGCTCCATCGCCTCCATCATGGCATCTCCTTCCCTTTGATGGGCCTCATTACTGTTATACCACGGCACGTGGAATAGCACGACTAACCAGGGCGTCTCTTTGCGATGAGATTTGAGTTTGAGAAGATCAGCCTATATATAAATTTAAATGCCCAATGAGTTGTGCTCTCTCTGTCCGAAATTTGCTATCCACTTTCAAAAACTCTTATTTAAAAGTGGGTAGCTAATTAAGGATAAGCAAAAACAAGAAAGTTAACAACTAAATCCAGACGGATTAGCATACAAAAGCAACATGACGAGTAAAAACATATCATTTGAGAGGGCAACTTGAGGGATCAACTAACCTTAAGCCAGCTATACTGAGGGGAGTTCTCGGCATAATCTGTATAAGAGCCGAGCATGACAACGTGAACCCCAGCCACATCAAATGAATAATACAGATTTGAAGAGGAACCACTCTCTATAAAAGGCATCTTCCACCTCGAGTTATAAGACTCAAACCCTTCGTTAACTAGGGGGACGAGTTCCTCCTTATCATGGTTCCCTTGTGTGACCATCCATGGCCTTGCACTTGCAAGAGGCTGCACCAGATTACCAAAGGTGTCCCATCGCCTTTGAATGCGATTGGCATAGGACAGGTCTCCAGGTAACAAAAGAACATCATGTTTGCATTGTGCTATGTGGTCTAAAGTCGACTTAGTCCATTCTGTCTGCCCCAAATCGCCTGCCACTGCAAAAGTAAGTGGGAACTTGGAAGGCAAAGTTTTGAGCTGAAACTCAGGATCTCTTCCTCCACATCTGTAATAATACACAGTGTCATCCTCCAGTGGTCCAATCACTGTGTGGTGAATTAACCCTGAGGTGTAAAAGACATATTTATATTTTGTGCTTTCTCCATTAGCATTGAAGGTGTAATTTCCGGGTGATGTGCCATATTCGACAAAAGGAGAGGATTCATAACTGGTGATCCATGATACTCGTATTTGTTTATCTCCAGCCAAGGATATGTGAACCTACAGTCAAACATTATCATAAACTCAGGGGTATCCATTAGAGTAGTAAAAAAACCTTTCCTGCGCCTACAATCACAAGCTTGAGCTTTTGATTGAGTTGGTTCTTTGACACCGTATCAGAGCCTTGCGGACGAAGATGTCACGAGTTTGAAATTCACACTCTCCCAGTTTTAAAAATTAAATGTTCACATGTGCTCAAGCAAATAAAAATCTCACCTACACGTGAGGGGCATGTTGACGTATAAAAACCTTTCTTGGGCCTACAACCACAAACTTAAGCTTTTGCTTTGAGTTGGTTCCTAAGCCTTGACAGTATCAATCAACCTCCCAAAATCATTTTTGCACAAATGCTATTTGCACCAATAATTCACAAACTTGAATGTGGAAATTAAGAAAATTAGGATACAAAAAATGAGGAGTAATGATTTATTGACATGTAGATCATCATCTAAATTCTAAAATAATATTTCGACCCCTAAATAAACTTCATTGTCATTCAAGCCAAAAAAAAAAAAAATCATGGTCATTATTGGTCAAACTATAGCATTTTTCTTTGTTTTTTCTACTAGTACTCTTGCCACAACTTTGCTTACCAAAATCTTACCTGCTGAGGTTGAGAAGAAGTGTTTGGATCCCAAGGAAAACTCAAAGTTTTGCGCGGTGGAGGTCTGACGTACTCGGCCGCCGCAAGGGAGGAGGCGATCAGGGAAACAGCTATCAGTGCAGCCAGATTCTGGTCCATCGCGGGGCGAAGATTGGAGATATGGCGATTCAAATGCGGCCGAGTTTATTTATATGAGTTTAATCAATCATTACTCCGTTGGAAACGCGTGAAATCGGGGTGTGTTCATGCTTTTTCTTCCCCTACGCATAGGACTTTATCGTTTCTGCGGAAAACAGAAAACTCCCAAATTGCTTTTTTGGTTTTCAATCACTCCCTAAACCCAACTTTACTTGCTGGTGAATAAATCTAATGTGGCATTTTCATTGTGGAATAAATTAGAGTGAAATAATGGAGGATATAGGCTGCAATGCTGAATAGAATGAGGGAAATGTACTTCATATTCGATTTAGTTTTTTTTTACTCCAATTTAAGATGAAATCCTTTTTGTAATACTCAATAAAATGCAATGATTTGTTTTTCAAAATTATCAACAAAATAAATCTAATTAATAATTAAATTGTTTTGGGATTCAGAGTTCTTCTAGTTTCATACGAAAATGTCAAATTAAACGAATACATCACATTGGTACAGATGTAGAGCTTGTTCTTTTGAGTTTAACTTTTTAATTTCCAGGTCTTTTTAGTTTTTCCAATTTCTTCCGGTTCTTTCCTATTTCTTCTTAGTTTTTTTCACTTTCTTTCAATTTTTTTAACTTTTCCAATAATTTCGATTTTTTTCAATCTTTTTCTACTTCCCAAAGAACGACTCTAAAAAAATGTGTTTTTCATGTATTATTATTATTACTATTACATTACAAATATTATTATAACTTCCCAAAGAACGACTCTAAAAATGATGTGTTTTTTCACGTATTAATATTATATTATAATTATTATTTTTATTATTACTATTATTAATATTGTTGTTGTTCAGAGGCGGATCCAAGACTTTACAACCATGGGGTCCTCTACCTTCGATTCTCATATCAAACTATTTCATAAGTCTTAACATTTAACAATAAACTAAAATTAATATTTGAAAAATATCATAATTAATACATAGAAATAAAGTCATACAAAAATAATATTAATTATATAAATTAGACATAAAAAGAATACTATTACAATAATACTTATCACTTGCAATCCTAAATCAAT